ATTTCTACAAGGACTGTGGGTAGCCAACCCTTACTTTAAGTTGCCCATGTTTTAATTGGTCTACTTACTATTCAATTGGCCTAGTTATTATATTCTCTAAATTACATTTTACTCCTGTATGTGCAACTATTCAGTGCAGTAAGCATTAGTCTGCTCCAGCATAGTACAAAATCCCAATAACAAATTAAACAATTATGGAAGGTTCACACCCAAGAGACCTTACGTCTGTGCAGCTATTTTCCCTTTGCTCCATAATAATGCTAATTCAGTTATTAAAATATCACACTATTGTATATGAGAGGTGAAACCGGGAGTACGTACAGTAAACAGTTCCATAAATGCCATTCACACCATTCACAAGAATAAGGATCTTCCATTCAGATTCTTGTTATTTAGGAGAACGAGGACTTTAGTCAAGATTTACTCTACTCAAAAGTTAAAAGACAATAATCATCTTTTTTCATTAATATTCTCCTTGATGGAGAATTCTTTCCTCAAGACTGGGCTGCTAAAATTCTGTAACTACATTTTAACTGCAAAATGTCTCTCCTTCTCTTTTTGATGGATGGAAACTAATCCAAGAGAGAAGCAACGTAGAATTAAGGAGAAATTTCCTGACAGTGAGCACAATTAACCAGTGGAACAACTTGACTCCAGAAGTTGTGAATGCCCCAACAATGGAAGTATTTAAGAAGACACTGGACAGCCGTTTGTCTGCAATGGTATAGGGTAAACTGCCTGAGCAAGGGGTTCGACTAGAAGACCTCCAAGGTCCCCTCCAACCGTGTTCTTCTGTTAAGATCAACATGTGTTCTCTGCATAAAAAGGGAGAGAGATATACCTGGATATTCTGGATAACAAATAGTTAGAGGGCTCCTTTTAATTTTTTCTTCAAAGAGATCCTTTTTATTTAAGAACAGGATGATGGAGGTGTCAGTAAACCACTTATTGTTGCAGATGCTATCAAACAATTTCATGCTTTCGTGCATTCTATTCTGCAATGGGAAAAAAGGAGAATCGATCAGTGTCCTTTCCTCGTTTCTCTGCGTAATAATATCAAGATCAATTCACAAATAGGTCCAGTGAAACAAAACTCAATGTACCTAAAGAACAAGGACCAAAGTCTGTGACATTTTCTTATTTCAGACAATTATTTGAATTACTCAAATCAATAATTCAAATGATTGTTAAGACCATCGTAAAATAGTTCAGCTACTGCTTGGTTCTTCTTCCTTTTACCAAAATAAAGTATTTAAAAACATATTTTACAATGTGTTTATCATGATCATTATATAAATAAATCCCTAAAAATAGAATCCTACTTCACCTATCGGCAAGCTGAATAGAAAATTATTGCTCTTCTCTTACTGCTAAATGAGTAAAATGTGATTAAATTACAGAGAGTCCTTGACCTTCAACCACAAGTGAGCCAAACATTTCCGTTGCTAAGCAAGACAGTTGTTAAAGACAGTTGTTAACTGAATTTTGCCCCATTTTACAACCTTTCTTGCCACAGTTGTTAAGTAAATCACTGCAATTGTTAAGTTAGTAACTCCTCTTCCTTCCTTCCTTCCTTCCTTTCTCTTTCTTTCTTTCTGTTTCACTTCCTTTTTTTCTTTCTTTCTCTCTCTCTTTCCTTCGCTTCCCTCCCATCCATCCATCCTTCTTTCTCTTTCATTCTTTATTTCTGTCTCCATTCCTTTTCTTTCTTTCTTTCTTTCTTTCTTTCTTTCTTTCTTTCTTTCTTTCTTTCTTTCTTNCCATGTTCTTCCCCAACCTCCTCACTGTCTGAATCTGCTGCCAGATCCGCTGTCCGCTGGCAGCTCACACCACTCACAAACCCAACACTGATGGACAAAAGTCAACACACACTCAAGGTATTTGACAAGGCATCTCCAGCGGGGTTTCGAACAGTAGATCATAAAAGCATGGCCTCTTCTATGACACGCTACACATGTCAAAGATGAAGGATTTCCACTGTGTAGTTCACAGGGGCTATATTGACTATCTGGTCAATGCTTCCCAGCAGTACCCATGGTTGCTTGGAATTATTCCAACTGGTCCAATGGACATATAGAATGATGGTTTAGAGAGTGAAAGACTCCATCGTTCTGGTCCTTAGAATGCATGGCTTACTACATAAAACTAGCAGGATTGTCTTTCTGAACCCAAGGCCACTCACGGACAATATATATATATATCGCATTATATAAATAAAAATAAATAAACCCCCCAGCTCTAAAATTATTCATGGTCTTCTTTTTTTAGAAAAAAAAAGCACATTTGGTTTTTTTAAAAAAAGAAAGAAAGAAAGAAGGATAGTTGGATATCTATGGTATATGTTTAGAATAAACCGCAGTCTTTCAAATTATTCTTTATGATGACATCGGTGACCGCGTCAAAGACGAATTGAACGTTCTTGGTATCGGTGGCACAGGTGAAGTGGGTGTAGATTTCCTTCGTGTCTCTTCTCTTGTTTAGGTCTTCAAACTGGCACTGGATGTAGGCAGCTGCTTCTTCGTATGTGTTTGATCCTAAAATGGGTGGAGGGGGAAAAAAAACACAAAGGGTGGATTTAAGCCCTTTGGACTAGTGGGTGATATGATAGCAGAGTTCCGACATCTCGGGGGTTGCCACAAAGGAGAAGGAGTCAACCTACAGGACAAGAGAGTCGGAAGGGACCTTGTAGGTCATCTAGTCCAAAGTTGAAATTTAGTTATAGAATTTTAATAGCACAGTCTTGAGGTCTACAAGGACTGTTGGGTACGAGTTCTACAAGGGACTGCAGGTTGAGTTTCAACCTAGGGAGGAGGAGGAGGAGGAGGAGGAGGAGGAGGAG